GCCACGTCCTAGTACTAATCTAACGGGACTAGGACTAGAACCTCTCACGTGCTTAGCACTTGGCCAACTTCAATTTGGATTATTCCAACATTCATCTTTTAATCCAAACATTCAACTTTTTACATGAACAAGACACGCAGACGATCACCTCTTTATCTTGTCCTGTTAATTGCCTTCGATGACGCGACCTACCCGACCACAACTTCTCTCATCTTGCAATGATGGCCACCACATCATCACCATCATACTTTTGTGCCGACTTGAAAACTGAAACCAACGATTATCCGGACTACCAGCCACGTTGCCACAACTTAGCGTGCTACATGCAGTTTAAACGCATAGCCTCATGCAGGAACTCAACATAACCGGTGCACGTCCTCTTTACGTTGATCTTCATCTTCTCGTCGGTTGCTTGTGCACGGGGAGACACATCTTTTCACCCGTCACATCTTTTTCCTTCTCAATGTCGCCGATGCCACATCTTATCGAACAACACCTCTGTCCAGCGGCAACACAACTCGCCATATACGTGCAACTCATCTCCATCGTATATGAACTCGCTTGAACTCCACGACCACGAACGGAAACGCAAGGCACGAATTCCTTTTTCCGCCCGCTCTCGCTCGCAAATCTCCTTCACCAGTGACGCATCTCAACTGCAGCAGAATATTGACACACCTGAGCTCTTGGACGCACCTTATAAGAACTCATGTGCACACCTTGACGACAGCTCGCAACTTTGTCGCCTCTTCCTCGCACCCCCGAACGACGATCTTGACGAGATCTTCTAGTATCGCACCTCGACACTACTGCTCCCGTCAACCTCCTCCAGGTTGATTCGTCGAACGACAATCACCCGTCGCCTCGCTTGCGATGGCGTCCTCACCGCCTTCTTGTCACCGCTCCGCCGAACAACAACTGCCCGATCCTCCTTGTCATCGCTCGAACGACAATTGCCTGCTCCTCCTCGTCGCTGCATCCCAGCGACTATATCGCCCGCTCCTAGTTGTCGCTGCACCAATGATTGTATCGCCCGATCCTCCTCGTCGCTGCACCACCCAACGACTAAATCGCCTGCCGCTCTTCGTCGCTACACCAGCGACTGTATTGCCGCCCCGAGGTGCTAGTCGGGTCGCCACCTCGGGGCAAGCGCAGCTTCACCTCGACCTTGCTCTGATACCAATTGTTGAAAATTTGCTCTCAGGATCGATCACATAAAATCACACGAACACACGCACACAAAAACTGATAGCCAAGGGCCCGTATCATGCCATGTTTTCTCCTCTTTATTTTTTCTCCTTTTTCTCTTAATACAATAAACTCACGCAATAGTTGTGCACCGACCCAGGATCTCAAACCGGGCGGTGCCAGGGGCACGACGCAGCCGGGAGCCGTGGGCTTGTCGGAGAGCAGGCAGCTGCAGTATACGAGCTGTTGGTCGTCGACGTCGAGTGGCAAGGGCGGAAGCTCGATCTTGCTGCGGCTCTGGTGACTCCATAGGAAGGTGGCCAGGGAGGTCGGGTCCCGGACTAACAGGAAGCCACGGGCGGTCGGGCAGATGATCATGTTCTCCAGCGCGCCGGTTTCGCCGCCGGCGATGGGCTTCTTCTCCGGCACGCTGAACAACACCGTGGATCGATCCTTGACGCTGTGGTAGGCGAGGCACGGTAGCAGCGGCATCGTACTCGTCGACGACATCTAGATCTATTGCCCGGTGGGAAGAAGAAATCTTTGTTCCTACGGCGGCGGAGCAGGGGCGGCTTAAATAGATGGAGATTGGAGCTGCGATTTATATCTATCTGAATTCAGGTCGATCACGCTAACGCGAATCCTCTGAGACGACTCGGCCTCGGTCTCCCATCCTGGCCGAGGGGTAGACGTCGCTGGCTCGGTGCCGTAGGATGCCGAGGGAAAGGAGAGGCAACTTCTTCTACTTCCTCGATGCAGCCGTGCTATCCGCCGTCTTGGCCAACGGCCGACGCTCCCGAATGCCGGTAAGGTGGTGGGGACGGAGCCTCGAAGCGAGCGACGACGGAGAGCTGTCGATAATGTTCTTCCCTTTGTGGCGCCCAATCGGCAGCCGACGGTGGGCTCCGTTCCGGCGAAGGTGACCAGGGGTGCGTCGGAGGTGGGGCTGGGGACGGCCTGCGGCAGGGTGGCGTCAAGATCGGGCGAGAAGGCTATCCGCGGGCGAGCGGAAAGCGGTCGGAGCTTCGCCAACGTCCCCACCCAGAGAGGAACGGACACAGTTGTCGCCCCAGATGCCACCCCGGTGGGTCCTAGCCAGCCCCAGGGCCGGCCCATAGGCCGGGCAAACGGGGCGCCCGCCCTGGGCCTCCGAAAGGCAGGGGCCCCAGCCCAGGTATTATTGCCTCTAGTAGTCGGTCGATCTTTCCCGTTCAACGAGAGTAAAGAGGGCCCGTTCAGCGTCGGTCGATCTTTCCCGTGCTCCTCGTTTCCTCTTCCCCAAATCGAGACTCCCAAAACAGCGCCGCGCCGCCGCCGTTCCCATGCCGTATCCGATTCCAAGATCGCCGCCGGCCATTAATGGAGATTAAAGGCGCCAATCCACTCCCCAATCGACTCCCCTTCGTTCTTCAACGTTCTGCTCGTTCCCCATCAGCTGGACGTTGGAGAGGAGACGGTGCGTGTTCTTCTTTTCTTCCCCTCCATAACCCCGTTCCTCCTTTCAGTTAAATAGAGGTGCCCTCCCCCTCTGACGACTCCACATCTTTCTTCTTATCTTCTGCTCTTCAGACTTGAGCGGATCTAAGTTTGAGTGCTTGGGAGAACTGCTGAACTGGAGAAGGAGGGGTGTTCTGTTCTCGTTCGTGCTGACTGCAACCTACGGGTCTGCTGATTTGGCCACCTACATCCACATTCAGGTGCATTTGTTCCCTGTTTTAATCTTTTTATATGCTGCTTGTTCTTGTTTAGTGAGATGTCCCCTAGAAAGCATTTATCTGGTAGTGCCAAAAGGAAGAGAAAGAAGGAAAAAGATGAAGAGGTAAAATCCCTAAAAGGATCACTTAAGAATTTTTTCCAGACCTGCTAGTTCTTCTAGAGATCCCCTGGAATTGGCCATAGTATGTGTTGAAGAACAACCAGCTGAAAATACAAATTCTATTGATGATGATATGAATGGCGGTAATAGCAATTCCAGTGAGCAAGAAAATGTAACTCATTCACCAAATTCTGAATCACCGGGTGTTGATAAACAACAACCATTCACTGTTGATATTTTTGATCCACGAAACTGGGATAATCTGGATGATAAGGCTAGAGATATTTTAGTTGAGAAGGGTCCCGTAAGAAATGATGATATTGTGTTCCCTCCGGATAGTAACTCTAGACATTTTTCAAAATCTTATTATTCGAGAAAGTTGAGCAATGGAGAGGTACATGACAGGAAATGGTTGGTTTACTCTGAACATGCTAACAAAGTGTACTGCTTTTGTTGCAAGCTTTTCAAATCCCATAGCAACAAGAGTGCGTTAGTAGGTAATGGATTGGGTGATTGGAAGCATCTTAGCGAGAGGCTTAAAGAACATGAAAATGGTGTAGAGCATATTAAAACCATGAACACTTGGAATGAGTTAAAAGTTAGACTAGCCAAAAATAAAACCATTGATAAGGATTTGCAGCAGCAAATCAATAAGGAGAAAGAACGTTTGAGACAAGTGTTAGTGAGATTAGTAGCCATTGTTAAATATCTTGGTAAACGTAGCTTGGCTTTTCGTGGATCTAGTGAGAAACTTTACCAACACAATAATGGTAAATTTTTGGCATGTGTAGAGATGATTGCTGAATTTGATCCAATAATGCAAGAACATATTAGACGAATTCAAAATGATGAAATTTATCATCACTATCTCAGCCACAAAATTCAGAATGAGTTGATTTCTCTATTGGCCTCTAGTGTTACTAGTTCTATCTTACAAATTATTAAAGAGGCTAAATATTTCTCCATAATTCTTGATTGTACTCCGGATGTTAGCCATCAAGAACAAATGACCCTAATTATTCGATGTGTTAACATGTCAAATAAGAAAATAAAAATAGAAGAATTTTTTATGGAATTTTTGACAGTGGATGACACTTCTGGTTTGGGTCTTTTTAATGTACTTCTTGACGCAATAGATTCTTATGGCTTAAATATTGATAATGTAAGGGGCCAAGGCTACGATAATGGTTCCAACATGAAAGGAAATAAACAAGGGGTACAAAGTCGTTTACTTGAAAAAAATCCAAGAGCTCTATATATGCCATGTGCGTGTCATAGCCTCAATCTTACTTTGTGTGATATGGCAAATTCTTGCAGTAAAGCTATATCCTCTTTGGAATTGTGCAATGAATTTATATTTTATTTTCAAGTTCCACTAAAAGATGGAAAGTTTTACTTGATCATATTCCTAGTTTAACTGTGAAAGGTTTGTCTAATATTCGGTGGGAGAGTCGAATCAAAAGTGTGAAAGCTATTAGATATCAAGCTCCACAATTAAGGCTAGCTTTGTCTGAGTTATCTAAAATTTGTGATGATGCCAAGTCAAAGAGCGACGCAAATAATTTATTTGATGCACTTGGTAGTTTTGAGTTTTTACTTGGCATGGTTATTTGGCATGATATATTATTTGCTATAAACATGGTGAGTAAGAAGTTGCAGTCCGCATCTATGTGTGTCGACTCTACCTTGCAGCAAATTGAAGGCGTAATGCAGTTTTTTGATAAGTACAGAGATGAAGGATTTGCATCTTGTTTGACTATCGCCAAAGGTCTTGCAGTTGATATGGGCATAGAACCATCATTTCCAATAAAACGTAATGTTACTAGGAAGAAACAATTTGATGAACCTAATAACGATGAAGAAGTTCTAAAAGCTGAGAAGGCGTTCGAAGTTAATTACTTCTTAGTTCTGGTTGATATTGCAAATGTCTCTCTGAAAACTAGATTCAAAGAAAGTGTTCAAAAGTATATTTGGTTTCTCACTTAGTTCAAAAGACATGAAGTTATTGAATGATGTTGAACTACGCAAATGTTGTGCTAAGTTCATAGAAACATTTTCACGAAATGGTTCATGCGATGTTGAGTTAGATGATCTTTTTTCCGAATTAAGACTGCTGCAAATGACCTTACCAGAATCAGGTTTGCCATTGCATGCTATGGAGATTTTTGAGTTTGTTAGAGATATTGACTGTTTTCCAAATGTTTTAATTGCTTATCGAATTCTGTTCACTGTACCAATGACCGTAGCATCAGCAGAGCGTAGCTTTTCAAAGTTGAAATTGTTAAAGAACTATTTGAGGTCAACAATGTCACAAGAAAGATTAAATGGTCTTGCTACTTTATGTATTGAGAAAGATAGGTTGGATGAAATAAATGTTGATGCAATAATCGATGACTTTGCTTCTAGAAGTGTTAGACGAATTTCCAAGTTCTAGTATAGACGTGAATTTCTCAGTTTGCTTTACTATGCCTTGAGCAGGAATGTTTGGAAGAAATGAGTCCGGGTGAAGACTTTTGGAGTGAAGAACATGGCCAATTGGGGAGAGGATCTAGAAACAAATGTAAGATCGTGCCTAACTTTTTATCTCATGGTAACACAAAAGATCTAAGTAGCAACCTGTTTTGGCAACAATTTTTGTTTTGCAGGGCAAAATGAAGTCTCCATTAAAATTTAGAAATGCAAGCTTTTGTCGAACTACATCATTTCATTACTATCATGGTGTAGTTCACTTATCAATAAATAATTTGTATTATCAGTTTTGGAGTACAAATTAAGATCATCAGACTATGCTATGTACTGGATATTATTTTGCTTTTGAAATATAAATATTTTGAGGTTTGGAGTAAACACAAGGGCCCTTTATTGCTGTCTTGCCCCTGGGCCCGTATATCTATGGGCCGGCCCTGGCCAGCCCGCCGTACACCTCACACACCATATGCTCGACAAAATGTTTGAAATATTTTACAAGCTTTTTTCACATTTGTAAACTTGGTATGAGGTCCACTAAACAACGATTTGGAAATGTTGTTCTCGCAATAAGTTTCAGTTTACTAACCTGACCTCATATTTAATTAAGGGGAGCTTTCTACGGGACTTGTTGGTGATGCTCTGAGACTCTTCAAATACTCAAATGAAATTTTCGGTTCGACGCAAGGTTGGAGGCTGGGAGTTCATTTTATAGCTAATTATCTCAAGCAAGTGAAGTGTCTTTCCCACACCCCTCCTAAAAGTAGCCCTTCTGGAGTCGTGTCATCACATATGGCACTTCCTGACAGGTCTCCCCAGAGTACAAGTTGTTCATGTAGAGGTTTTTCTCCTTGCCGTGATACTAGTCTGCGGTTGATGCTTGTCCGTATTGTGTTAGGTTGTGACATGAATGGTTTCAAGCCGATAAATCCATTTGTTGTGCTCCCTCCCCTTGCAGAGTGTGTTTCTCTTTTTCTTGTGTTTTGTTGGTGCATGTAGAAAACTGGTTGGATTCTTAGAATTGAAAATCTAATAGCAAATCTTTTGAAAATGATGGCTCGGCATAGGTACTCCCTCCATTCCTATATATATTGCGTATTAGTTTCTTGTAAGAATCCCACAATGTAGTGCGTATGAAGCACTTTGGACAAGAATTACCCCTAGCTTTTCACTGGAGATGCAGCACATCCACATGCCTATGTACAGAGAGTGTGCATGCAGGGTTATTACGGTCGAAAAGTACATCTCCACGTCATGCCTTGGTCTTGGAGCCTCAAACCATGCATACATATACAACTACATATGGGACTAGAGGAAGTATAAACGTTCAAAGAGTTAGCGACCGATTTTTTTTGCATAATGCATACAACTAAGCCCGTAGCTAACTAATTAAGCGATCACAGAACACCTGAGATTTAATCCAGATTTAGGCAGAAAGTGGCACCTCTTGTCATTTTCCTCGGATTTCCAGTTTGCCTCCATTCCTCATATCAGGCGAGACTTAGGCAGGGTTTCTTCATTTCCGCCCGCGGTTAGGTTGGTTTTCTCTGGTTCTTCCTTTTGTAGGCTTATCTGAGGCTCGTTCTTGTTTCCAACCTTTTTCGCTGATAGAGCAACATTTTCAATCAGAGTCGTTGTAATAATGGTTATTACGACCCGAACAATATTTTCAATCAAAATCTCGAAGGGCCAACGGCCGAATTATAGAGTACAACAGCGATCGACAGTCTAGGCGATCTAGAGCTGTTAATCGGCAGAGCCGAAGCTCCGAACAGAGAAGAAACAAACTAAAAAAAAGAAACCCAGCAAGGGCCCAACATCAGTACACATCGCCTACACAACCGGCCGATCTCCAGACAGCAATATCTTCTCTTATCAGGTCCAACACCCTGTCCACATTGCTGGCCACATGCTCAAAAATCCCCGCGTTTCTTTCCTTCCAAATTCTCCAGTGAATCAGAATGGTGATGGTGTCAAAATTTCTTCGAGCTGACTTGGGAATTTCCTTTCGAGTATTGATCCACCAAGATTCAGAACTGTCAAAGTGGTCATCAGGGATTGAGAACTGAGCCCGCGTCCAGTCTCTGAACCTGGACCAAACCTGCTGTGTGAATCGGCACAATAAGAACAGATGCTTACAATTTTCGGCCACCAAGAGACACAGAGGGCATACATCATTTGAGGGCCAGCCCCTTCTTTGCAGGTTATCCGCAGTCAAACATCTCTTATGAATGACCAGCCACATGAAAAATTTGCATCTAGGTGGAGCTTTTGATTTCCAGATTGGTTTATGGCAAGCAAAGCGCATATTTGCAGCGAAGAACATACCGTAAGCACTGCTGACCGAGAAATTCAGATCACCGATCAGCCTCCAAACCAGTCTATCCGGAGTCTCCGTCGATAGAACTGTGTCTTGAACGAGGTCCCAAATTTGCAGATATTGCATCATGGCCTGGGCCGAGATGCCTCCTGAGATCTCCCTAATCCAGCCCCTATTAGCAAGGGCCTCCTTCACCGAGCGAGCCGAGTCCTTGACGAAGGAAAACAAGGCAGGGGCCAGCTCGTCAATGGACCGCCCACCTGACAGCCATTTGTCCGTTCAAAATTTGGCCCTCTGGCCATCACCCAAACGTATAAGCGTCGCTGCTTTGACCATGGTAGAGACTTCTTTCTCTGTTTCCTCTGGCAGCATACACCAAGGCCTCTCCTCGGTCTCCCTTTCAATCAAAATCATCGTAATAACAGTTATTACGATGATCCAAACGCTACACGACTCTCACAAAATTGCTCTTAGCTTGCTAGGCATGAGGCCACGCGTTCGCCAGAGGGTGATGCAACACGCTTGACTAGCTAGGCTGTAGCCGTGCTAGCTTGGAAGGTAGCTTTTTGCATAAGATTCACCCTACCTCGCACATTCAAGTAAGTTCTCTCAGTTGTCCTTCCTCTTCATGCCTCTGCCACACGTGCGTCTAAATTTGTCTTTTTCATAACTCACGTCTTGTAATGTGTTTAAACTTGAAATTTTGCATGACAATAAACCACCACACTATTAAAATCTCATATATTTTTTTTATTTTTTTCAAAACTTTAAAATATGGTTTCCATGAAGTTTTCATTAAATATTGTTTTTTTGAATTGTCACCGGGCAGGGGGGGGGGGGAGAACTGCCCCACCTGAATTATATTCATTTGCCTATAAGGCTTTGCAGCCTTTTTGCAAGATGGGTTCAAATGAACCACAATTACAAGGAGGCACAAAAGAAGAGACAAAGCAAAAAACAGCATATGCCAAACATACAAACAGGGGAGAACAAAGAGGGAAGACACATCCCAGCACAACACAAAGCACCACCAATGTGATGGAACGGCATTGGCCAGCCGAACCAAGCCAAGACATTGTACCATCGACGCAATCGAAAGGCTTCACGCATCCGAGAGTGCACAACGCCACAACACCACCTGTGTCGGGGGTGCATTCGAAAGGTCACGCGAGGCCGAGACGGCGCCATGACGCCTATGTGCCATAGGTGAAGTCAGCATCGCCAAGCAAACAAGACCATGACACTGCACGGTCGACGCAATCGAAAGGCTCTGCGCATCCGAGACTGCACAACGCCACAACACCACCTGTGCCGTGGGGCACATTCGAAAGGTCACGCGAGGCCGAGACAGCGCCACAGGACCTATGCGCCACCGCCGCTGTCGCTTGACATCACCTAGCAGAGAACACACCTAGGAGTGCAGGAGCAAGAACACGAGAAGAACACCCCCGAAGAAGAGCACAAACCACCGTCGACCCCAACCCGGCTGCACCACCACCACCCGACCGCCAAGACAAACACCTCAACGCAACCAAAGGCATGGCCGAACCAAGATCACGAAGACAGAGCACCACCTATCCGCTGCCAACGCCCACACAGACCACCAATGGGACCACCTCAAGCCACTGGTCACCCTAGCCAAGGCAAGCTCAAAGACGAAGCCCCAAGTGGGAGTGTGGCGTTGAGCGCCACCATCGCCCGATCTGGGAGACCCGAGATCCAAAGTTTCCTCCGGAGCAATTTAGGAGGAAAGACGAACACAAGTAGCATGACACCTTCAGCAAGGATACGACGCCCACATGCACCACCGTCGTTGGCTCCAACCGAAACCGGAGCCCGGCTTTATGCCGGCTGTGTCACGGCCCCCAACCTGCAGTCTGCTAGCCAAACCAACACACCAGCAAGAGCACTTGCAGCTTGACCAGGAAACATAGGCCGCCGCACCATGCGAAGCCTCCAGATCGGGAGAGCGACAGAGCTCGATCCAAGAGGCGGCGAGAGCTGCACCTGCATCACGCCGAGCCCGGCGCACACCTTGTGTTGGGGAACTTGTAGTAATTTCAAAAAAATTCCTACGCACACGCAAGATCATGGTGATGCATAACAACGAGAGGGGAGAGTGGTGTCTAAGTACCCTCGTAGACCGGAAGCGGAAGCGTTAGCACAACGCGGTTGATGTAGTCTTACGTCTTCACGGCCCGACCGATCAAACACCGAAAGTACGGCACCTCCGAGTTCTAGCACACGTTCAGCTCGATGACGATCCCCGGACTCCGATCCAGCAGAATGTCGGGGAAGAGTTCCATCAGCACGATGGTGTGGTGACGATCTTGATGTTCTACCGTCGCAGGGCTTCGCCTAAGCACCGCTACAATATTATCGAGGATTATGGTGGAGGAGGGCACCGCACACGGCTAGTAGATCTCAAGGATCAATTGTTGTCTAGAGGTGCCCCCTGCCCCCGTATATAAAGGAGCAAGGGGGAGGGGCGGCCGGCCAGGAGGAGGCGCGCCAGGGAGGAGTCCTACTCCTACCGGGAGTAGGACTCCCTCCTTTCCTTGTCCAACTAGGAGAGGGGGAAGGAAGGGAGAGAGGAGAGAAAGGAAAGGGGGGGCGCCACCCCTCCCTCCTTGTCCAATTCGGACTAG